AGGGAAGAGCAGATTATACAGTCCCTTTTTGGCGTACAGTCCTCGGGACAAAGGAGTAGCTAGTGACTGGTTTGGCTGACCTTTACATGGTTTCCTAAATATGGTGAGGCTGGCTTTCGGCCACGATTGGCCCCTACACCTTATCTATACAGGAATGCACAAGAATGCAGGTTCCACCCAGCAGGGAGTAAAAGTTTCCCCAGGAATGGCGGTTTTAAGAACATGGCACTGATTATGTTCTTAGCACCCATATGAGGAAACTGCAGTCATGGAGCGGCAAGGTTAGGGACTCTGCTAATGCACCCGCCTGCAGCCCGGACAAGCTCTGTGGCTTGGGCTAATTGATTAACCTCTCTGTGTCCTAGTGTTGTTATTGTTTTAACCATATAATGGCAATAATAGTAATTGTTCCATTTTTTTTCACTGCAAAGTAATACTAATAAATAGACTAAGTATTAATGAGATGTCTCTGTAAAAAAAAAAAAAAAAAAAACAAAAAACAAAACAAAAAACAACCAAAATGCCTGATAAGTAATAACCACTCACTTTAATTTTTTTCCAAAATAAGGAACAAATGTTGGGGGTAGAGATTAAACAAAACTAAGGGTAGACATTGATAGTGACTTAAAAATAACAACATGGAGTTGTTTTAAAGGCAGGGGTCCACCAGATGACGTGAGTCCAGTCACTGAAAAGCGGAAAAGGCTGCAGAAGCTTGACCATTACTGGCCAAAGAGGAACAATCAGTTTTTGAAAATTTGGCTTAAAAAATACCCTTGGCTTGTCTATGATGAAATATTAAATCTTATGTTCTGTGGCCTGTGTCGAAAACACGGAGTGAAGTCCAGAGGAAGTCAAGTGAGTTTTTTTTATGGCACTGACAACTTCCGTACGGAATTCCTCAATGCACATCACCTCAGTGAGGCTCATGCCAAGGCTTCACTAATGGAAGCGACCAGTGGTTCTCCAGTGAACAGAGCCACCACAGAGCTGATGGTGAGGACCATGAGCAAAGTGACCCTCGGCAGAGTGGAGAACCTATTCAGGTCCTGCCACGCTATTGCCAAGACGGGGCGTCCCCTCAAAGATTTTATCTGGATGTGCAACTTGGATGATATGAAGGGTGTTGATATCGGCCCAGTATTCAGAACTAACAAATCAGCAAGAACATTTACATATTTTATTGCTGAAGTTGAACGGAGAAGTCTAAGAGAGAAGCTAGAAAAAAGCAAGTTTTTCTCCGTCATCAGTGATGGAATGGCAGACAGTCCAATAGAGGAGGCTGAGCTAGTCTATGTGCAGTTTGCATATGCAGGAAAAGTGCATTGTCAAATTGTTGGGGTACAGACAGTAGAAAAGAAGGAACCTCTGGCAATAAAAAATGCCATTGAGAAGACACTGGAGAGAAATCTTCAACTTCGGCTGTCGAACCGAGACTGGGCCAAGAAACTGGTTGGATTTGGAAGCGATGGTGCTTTTGGCTCCGAAGGAGAGAACGGGGTGACCCTACTTCTACGAGAAATCCAGCCATGTGTGCTGACAGTGTATTGCTTTGCACATCACCTGGAGCTGTCTTACAGGGCAGTGTTCCAGAGCATTCCCCTGTATAACCATGTCAGCGAACTTCTTCACAGCATTTACCACTTCTATCACAGTTCTCCTCTCCATAAGAGTTCCCTGATAACTGTTTTCAAAGGCCTTCACCTGCGACCTGTGATGCCTTCCCAAATAGGAGGCAGAAGGTGGCTTCAGGGACTGCAGGTGGCCCTCCAGAACTTTCTCAAAGGATATCCTGCAATTGTCCAGCAACTGCATTCAGTAAGTATTTTTGACACAGGCTGCAATCTCAAGTTTTTGTTTTGTTTTGCTTTGTTTACAATACCAGGGAAAATTTACTTAACTTTAAGAAAGATGAACTGCTATTTTATTTCCCATCGTGTTTCAGACAGATGAGAGCATAAGTGACACAAGTCAACCAAGAGCCAAAGAACTTCTCCAGTTCCTCCTGCAAGCAGATATTGTGAAATTCATCCATTTCTTAGTGGATGTCATTAACGTCCTTAGCATCCTGTCCCGTGTCAATCAGAACAGAAATTCCTCAATCGCTGATATATTTGCCACATTAGAGTCAACTCTGGAAATGCTGAGAATCTATCAAACAAGGTAAGAAATCGGGGATGGCCTGGAGGTCTGTCAAATTAGACAATTCAACTCAAGAAATTATTTGCCAGCTTCCTTTTCACGTAATACTTCGGTGGTGGGGGGTGGGGGGTGTTGCATTTTTCTCTCTCCAGGCCAGGGCCGAAAGAACGTAGGGTAGCTTCAGTCACACATTTTCATGGTAACTGCCTTGGAGGAAAGGGAAACATTGCAGACATGCGAGACATGGTTTTAACACATCTGATCAAGAAGCTCCAAGGCTGTTTCAGAGATGCCAGCCAAGATGTGGTCAAAGCAACCATGATTGGAAGCTTTAAGCTGTGGCCTGCAAAGATAAATGAAGGTAACCTGTGTGTGCCGTTCTGAACCTATTGCTCTCTGCTTGTCTGAGTGAATTTCTCTCATGGATGTGACTTTCTTTCCTATATTGATGACAGAGTTTGGAGAAAAGGAGGTATCCGTCCTCCTAGCACATTATGAACCAGTACTGGAAGCGGCCAATGTGAAAATTGATGAAGTGGACACTGAGTGGAGCATGTTGAAATTGGAGATTTATGCCAGGTAACCATAAATTAGTTGACATTTAGGAATATTTGGGTAAAACTCGGGCATCTCAATCTTTTCCATTTTTTGTTTTCTAGATTTCAGAATATCCGCAAATTGACCTGGGATTTCGTGAATTCTGTTTACTTACACAAATATCCAAATATCTTGACACTAGTTGACCTGGTACTGACTCTCCCTGCAAGTTCAGCTGAGGCAGAACGTGGCTTTAGTCAGATGAAACGCACCAAATCTCAAATGCATGCCAAGATCAAAGCTGATAGTATGACAGACCTCCTGATAATTCAGTTGAATTCCCCAGATATTAATAACTTCGACCCTAGGAAAGCCATCCATTTATGGAATACAAGAACACCATCTTCGACTCGTAACACAAGACCTAATTCGGATTGCTCATCAAACTCAGAAAGCCATTATGAAAGTGATTAGTAAATGTGACAGATGTTGACTTCATCATTGATCACTGCAAAAAAGCAATTGCTTTTCAAAAACCTGAAATTTGAACGTGAAAGCAGTAACATCAAACATAAAGGGCATTTGGTGCCTTCCCTTTATACCAAAAAAAAAATAAAATATCTGAAGATTGGCTTCCCTGTAGACTTTCTGGTTCTACTCATATTCACACATCGCTTCACATTCTGTGAATGGAGGTGTACAGTGCTTCACACTGCTTTTGTGTCAGCTTTGTAAGAGTTATTTCTAAGGGTATCAGACTCTGCTTATGGGCCGGTCATCTTTAAGCCTCTCATACAATGGACTTCATTTTCTGGATAACTCAAATGATGGTTACTTAGATAACTTTGGGACAAATTGAGTGTTTATTATTTTATATGTTTACCTGTCTCTGTTATTGCATTACATAGGAAGACTTTATTACATGCCTTGACCCTTTTAAGTAACAGAGTCAAATATTAAAATTGTTTTGCATTTCACACTTAAGCCCTCAGGTAAATAATTCCTATGTTGTAAACGACAAGTATTGCCTTGTAACATTTATCTTAGACCACTGATGTTATAACCAGTAGAAAGATATTATAAATAGACCAGGATTTTTATGTATGTTGACCTCTTTATGATTTCAATCGAGTTTACTTGTGGTTTCATCTTGAGGAACATGAGTGATTAATTTCTAACTCATCTGAAACCAAATGTGATGTGACATAAAGATCATTTTACTGAAAATTCTTCAACCTGCGAAAATGTATTAATTGGATGCTCAGGCTTGGTAAGAAAGGATAGAGAACTTGCTTCTGAACAACCTGCTGGGTGACCAGTCATATCACAGAAAGAAAGACTCCATTTGCTATCCAGAAATTGCCTTCTAACTTTCAAAATTGTAGACTTGTTTTAAATCACTGAAATTTTAAAAGGACTGTTGCATTTTCCTAAAGATTAGAGGACATGATGAAGTTCATGTTGAACACTGACAAATGCAAAATTTTAGAAGTAAACCGAAAATTTTGAGATGCTACATCTGTTCTTAAATGAGAAGAACTTCGTATTCTGGACCTGAAAGATAATGCAAATACACATAGGCATCTCCTGGCTCTGGAAGGTATCTCTGCTGTGGAAGTTCAACAGACATTTTTCTAAGCAGACTCATTTATTTTGCTTTCTATTTCTTTTTTAATGCATGTGCATGTGAACTGAAATGAGAAACAGACATCTCTTTTGGACAAAAGTAGAGTCGTGTTTAAGAGAAAAGTATTTAAAACATTAGTGATTTTTTTATGAAATATTTTGGAATGTCGAGCCAATTGGATGTTTAAAATTAGCACTTTCAATCCAGTCATTTGACAGTTCACATCTACCATTTACAAAAAGCAACATAGTTTAATCTTAAGAGCAAAGTGAGGACAAATGTGTCACCTCTATCAAAATGGTGGTTTGCATACATGTGAAGCATCTTTAGCCCATATTTGCCAAAATATTCACTCTTGCTTTAATATATATAGGAAACCTTAAAGTATTTATTTTAATTCCAGTCAATCCTAAATAAAAAGTCAAAGAGGACTCAAAACTAAAATATATAACCTGAAAATTTGGTACACTGTAATGATTTATTACTTGGCCCAAAAGGACATTTGAATTTAGCTGAGAAATCATAGAATATTGGGAAATTATTATCTTTATGTTTTCAAATGTCTTCTGTTTCTCTAAATGTCACCATTTTAGATAATATGGATAAAGTGATTATATAAATACTATTGGATTTAGCAAAAGGAACAAATCTGATCACATAGTAAAACTGAAAAATACTTTTCATTATATCATAGGTACAATAGGAAGTAGGACATTTACTGACATTCTGCTGGATTTGGTGACCCTGAACCTTGGAACAAACAATCTTCCCAGTAGTTGGATGCACCTCACTCAGCCCGAAGTAAGATTCCCTTTTGTTTGGGTTTCAAATTTTTGAAAATTCTTCTCATCTGATCAATAAGTCAATGGTTTTTAGTCACCAGTATTTTCACAATCCCTGACATTTAGTAGGCAGTCAATAAAGCTGAAATTAACAAATAACTGAACTTCAACTGAACACATACTATGTACATGCTGAGGTTGAAGAATGGTGCTGTTAACAGGCAGCCAGAATAAAGACTATGAGGTTGGGTCCTTAAGTCTGTGTCTGTTATGACCAGAGAGACAGATTTTAACTGGCAGTAGCAGATGCTTCTGGCAGTTCTTAGATTTTATCATAATCTGGTCTTTAATTATATATCAGAAAACAAAATGATTAAGGAGTAGTTCCCTGTGGGCTGTAGAATCCCACACAATGATGGTCAGAGTGTTTATCCCTCCTCTGATGAAAAGGTGGAGAGGAATCACCTGGAGTTACATTTATTAATTCATTGTGTAGCAGCAAGCCAAAAAAAATAAATAAATAAATGTTAAGGAAGCAAAACCTAGATACTTTCTAGATCCTGTCTGCTGTGGATTGGTTGAAAGACCTTGGGAAAACAAGTCAAACCTGGCTTTACTCACCAAAGTAAAGCCCTATACCCTTCATCTGAATCTCTTACTGTGAAATTAGAGAGAGCTTCAAAATAGTCATCCAAAGACCCAGTGGCATTTCTTGTTTTCTTCTAGTTGCAGGAATTAACATCTTTGTTAGTAGTAAATCTGGAGTTGGTGGACTGGCGGAAGTTCCTCTTAGTAGCTGCAATGCCTTGGCCTCTGCCTCTGGAGGAAGAGCTCCTCAAGACTCTGCAGAAGTTCAAGGCTATGGATAGGAGTATGTCAGGCACCGTCACTCTGGAGCAGTATATACAGGTGGCACTAATGATACTTTTGACCTAACAAATGTATTTCTCATTGATGTTTTCAAGCCTTTGTTCTGCCTCTTGACCCTCTATCTGGGCACCAGAGGTGTACAAGTCTCAGGCAGAAATCTGTCTTCCACCCCTAGGACAAGGAACTGAAAAAGTGAGAGCTGCTCAGAAAACCAAAGGGTCTGAAAGAAGCCACGTAACCTGCATTGTCCTTATTCTGAGATCCAGCCTGGTCCTCCTGAACCTGGGCTGCACATTAGAATCACAACAGCCATCATAACAAAAAAACATAGAACAAAGAGCCTTGTGGTCATGAGGTTGGTGACCAATGAGCATTTATGTCAAATTGGATGTGACATGTCTGTGAGAAATGCAAACAGGAACGTCTAATTTGATATGACAGACACAGAAGAAATTGCAAGTCACTATGTCATGTAGATATTGTTGAACTTATGGATGGATGAGATCACCTGAGGGACATGTGCAAAGTGACAGATAATCCAGTAGCATGATACCTGGTCATTGAACTTGGCAGGTAGATATAACTGGTGACCTTACTGGTCACCAATATTGGTGGAGCACAAAATGTGTATTACAGAGGACTGGGGAAATGAATAAGTCTTTAGGAAGTGAAGAGTATAAAACTCAATTCATCTTTTAGAAGTATGAGTAATGGAGTGAGAATGAAATGCCCTTACTAAGAAGTACTGCTTGCTTTGTACCTCCTAATTAAATCCATCCTGTTGCTTACCATTGGACGTTGCTGCTAGGCACAAAGGATGGAGCAGTATTAAGGCACTGCTTGTGAAATAGGACAGTTTTCTCTAGGTGCCTGTCTCTCATATATAATTCACTCTTGGAAGATCACATCCCTTTGACTTGTCTTTTCTTCCTTGAAAGGATGTTGTACTGTTGACAGCCCTGGGGTTCCCACATGGATACAGTTGAACTAGAGGACATAGTACTTGCATATTGAAGCACTTCTTCCAAGGCTCTTCAACTTGGAGACTTAGTTGCTTGGACTCTGATAGATTCACTTCCCAAGGCGAGCAATTTATGAACGTGACCCCTGTCCTGGATTCACAACTTGCTAAAATGGCTTTGCTTAAAAACAAAAACAGAAAAAAATTTCTCTATTTTCATCATTGACTTATAATTTAAAAAGTGGAAACTTGTGAAATTACTAACCTTCACAGTAAAGTTTGTGCCAATTAACACATACTATGAATTTAAATAGCCTTTTGCACAAACATGAGATGAGCAAAGGCTGTTGGCAATCTTCACCAAAGTGCTGAGCCCAAACCTGACAGGTGTGAATTTCTTAGAGAAAATTGGCTGATACGTTTATGGAAATTTAGAACACACTCTGTGTTTTAAGAATGATTAATTCCCAAGCTCTACCGTCCTCCCTTTTTCCACCTAAATCCTACTCCTTAGGAGCGTAAAGTGAGGAGGACATTGGGAGAGCCCTTCTTGAAGAGCCCACAAAAGTCTTAAAAGACTTCCAACACTAACTCTCAATGTCAAAAAAAAAAAAATTCTAGGGCAAAATTTTGTGAGCTTTATTGAGAATATCACATTAGAACAGTAAAAAATAAGCATCACTGCATTGATGATACGTAAGCTCAGTTGATTGTTGGAAAGAAAGAAGGCATAAAGAATAGGCCAGAATTAGGTCTGGAAACCAGTGGTTTTTGGTGGAAGGGAGTGCTGGGATTAGGTCACTTCTCTGAAAGATGGTAAGTAAGGTCTGGGGACAATATGCTCACATGTGTAAAGTGTTTGCCCTGCATAAAAATTAAATTTGGCAAGACATTCTTTTTAAGTCCATGGAATGTAGTAGCTGATGTTCACTAGCAGAATGGAATGGCAACGAACAAGAGCATGGACTAAATGCCAAACATAAGGCAAAACCAGTCACATTAGACTTCAGGAGTGACATCAAGGAGGGCTCCCTGAGGAGATGAGAGCTGAGTGGAGTCTGGAAAGGTGTGTAGGTTTATATGGGCAGACTGAGGAACAATCACCTCAGTAGTGGGGGTGATGAGCAAAAGAATGAGAACAGGAAATGGGTCTAGGCAGAGAATGATATGTAGCGATTGAAATTTTGAGAGAATTGCTATGGTTGTGTGGTACAAGCTGAAATAAATAAGAGAGACTGGAAACAAAAACAGCACTGAGGTTACTGAAGTGGTCTACCAGTTATGATGAGCTTCAACAGCAAGGTGCTACAGTGGAAATGGAAGAAGATGAGGTGGGCGACGCACAGCCAAGTGGAACTTGGTCATTGGTGTCATGTTTGGGCTGAGAAAGAGAAATGTCATTAAAAGGTAGACCACCAAGCTCTTGAGATAGTTGGTCACATAGCAAACATTTTTCCAGCATCCAGTGCACACACCAGCACCTCGCTAGGCTGTAAGAGCAATGAGCCACATGAACAAGACATGTGAGTTGGGAGCTCGTGTCCCAGAATTTCACCAGACAGCAGAATCAGTGGCCTCCCAGTTTCATCACAGGCTCCAACAGTCAAACTACAGCTCGTGTCCCCAGTCTGTGTGCTTTAGTTATAGTAAGTTACAGTGCATTTTGCTGAACTAATACATACATTGCCAATTTTTTTTAATGAAAAATACAAAATAATAAGATCAAATTGCAAATAAATGGAAGTTCTAGTGTTTTCTCCATGGTTTCTGAACCCTACCTTGAAGACTACTCTGCACTCAAGTCCTGAACAAATCGGTTTCTATCTCTTTAACTTTAGAGGAATGACTACATTCCAGCATAATACTTCAATGATTTTGTCTCCTTTTTTATTTTTTTAAATAGGCTGGCCTGTGGTTTACAGGAGATGAAAACATGAAAGTTCCAGAAAGTCCTTCTGAGCCCTTGCCATTCAATAGGCAGGAACATCTTATAAAGGTAATTACTATGATCACTGAAAACGTGACTTCTACAACACTGATCAATTTCATTGTCTTTTTTCCCGTTTATGTAATTTGCTTTCAATTCCATCCCTGTCCTCCAGTTCCTTTCCCCACCATGTATGCTTTAATATTCACTAAGGTGGAAGCAGAAAAATGTCATGTGGGAGAGAGCAGGGGACAAAATCTCAGAGTCCTACTGTTAGTTTGCAGTGGGATCTGGAACAATTTCACAACCTCTCTGGGTTTTACATTATTCACCTATCAAATAACCTCAGATGTCACTCAATATATTTGTCTCTTTGTCTCCTTCTCATACTAAAAGCTTAGGGTAGAATTGTCAACCTACCTGCGTGTGTTTTTATTCATTTCTCTTTGATCTTGACTAACTTGTATAGCATTCCAAGGATTTGCATATAGTGTTACCCGTGACCCATCAGATTATTATTATCAACAAGAATATTATCAAAATGTTGTTAAATCATTATTGTTATTAGTCAGTATCCCTGAAGTCACAATAGAAAACAAGACAGGAATATCTAAATGCCGATCTGACTTCAGTCTAAATGCTGAAAATGCAAAAACAGACTGAATGTGCACAAAGTCAATAAGATATGAGGAAAGTTGAACATCAGATTTTGAAGTCATAACAAGCTATATATCGATTGCTCATTTTTCAGGTAGTCATTCAAAATGGCATGACTACCTGAAAATGCATGATTCTAGTTACAGCTTTAAAATGAACACTTCTCTTTATGGGATACATATCTTTTAAGCACCATTTCTAGAGGCCAACAAGAGACCCAAAGAGAGGAAGGCATCAGGGAATCACCAGAAAAAAAGAAAAAAGAAATCCCAAGAAATGAGGCTGGCAATTATAAATGGGAAGCTGGTTTGTGTTTGGGTTGTTGTAGTTTTTCTCCTAACATGAAACTGGAGCTCTGAGATCAAGCCTCCAGCAAAGTTCTATTTATTTATGCATATAGAACTGGGGTACAGGCCAGAGGTGCAGGGGTTGAAAGGCTTCACCAGAGACAGAGTAGGGAGCAGAACAGGCAGATCAACAAAGTACACTGCTGAGGGGAGTAGCGGGCGGGTCAGGAGAGTTCTGCCACGCCATGTGGGTCAGCTGCAGGGTGGGGATCGAACTCATGCTGAAGTGGCTTTAGCTTCTTAGTGCTGTGCTTTAACCCACTGTGCCACCAGGGAGGGCCCAGCCTCTGAATCCTCTTAAGGAGAGGACTTGGATCACAGCCTAAGGTCCCAGCAGTCCCCCTGCCTTGTCATCTGTGCTCATTACAATCCAGGGCCTGCCTCCGAGTCACCCCACAGGAGCTCCTGGGCCAGGTCTGCTCCGCTGTCCACAGTCTGAGTGATCCCAGAGTTTCACACCCTGAATATAAAGTCTATCTGCCTCAAAAACGGAACACTGAAACATATCTGTGTTGCAATAACATCACTGTGACAACACACTTCCTCATGACTGATGAGATTCAGCAGACTGTGTCCTGACTTCCCACTCAATACCAAGAGCAACTATTCCAGTATTTTAAAATCCCTTAGGGATTTCCTGAGAAACGGCAATTTAATTTTACCATATTCAAATCCCTGGATGTTGTTTTAATTTATTTTCCACACTTCTGTCTGTTTGGAAATCCTTCCATTACTTTGGGCTATTAGTGTTTATTAAAGTCAGGCTTATGATGAGAGTTCAGGCTCACTTGCAGTGACCTCCAAATGTCTACTTGTGCTCCAAGCATTGGACTCCTAGATGCGACTCCCTATCGGACATCTCCACCTACATCTCAAATGCACCAGATAGCTCAGAAATACAAAGGGACATAAAAGACTATTGTGGGTACTCTGTGCCAACATGTTGGAAAATACGGAAGAAACAGACAACTTGTTAGATGTGTACAACCTTCCATGGATGAACTAGAAGGAAAAACGTAAATGAAAACATAGGCAAACACACCACAAGAATGGCTGCTGTGATCTTTGGGGACCTAACTCCAGTGACAAGAGAAACAAAAGCAAAAATAAACAAATGGCTACTCATCAAACTAAAAAGCTGCTGTATAGTGAAAAAAAAAACTATCATGAAAACAAAGACTTTGTACAGAATGGGAGAAAGTACTTCTGCATCATATATCTGACAAAGAGCTAATCTCCAAGATCCACAAAGAAGTCATACAACTTAATAAAATGTAAACAAAGAATCCTGACACAAAATGGGCAGAAAAAATAAATAGACGCTACCCCAAAGAAGGCACACAGATAGCCAGCAGGCACATGAAACAAAGTTCAACATCACTTATCATCAGGGAAATGCAAATCCAAATCACAATGAGATAGCACCTCGCTTCTGAGAGAATGGCCTATACACACACACACACACACATGTATATAGACATATATACATGTGTGTACACATATATGTATGTGTGTGTATATATACATGTGTGTGGGTGTGTGGATATGGAGAAAAGGACCATCTTGATGTTCCTCATACACACTTGGTGGAAAATGCAAACTAGTTCAGCTACTATAGAAAACAATATGGAAACTCTTCAAATATATAAAAATAGATATGCCGGATGACCCAGAAATTCCACTCCTAAGTATTCACTTGAAGAACACAGAAACACCATTTTGAAGGTGTATATGCGCTCCTACTGTTTACAGCAGCCAAGTTTTGCAAACAACCTAAGTTCTCCATGACCTAAAAGTAATTAAAGAAGATGTCAGATAGACAGACAGACAGACAACAGATTTCTGTTCCACTCTCAAAGGAGATGAGCTCTTGCTATCTGTGACAGTGTGGCTAGGAACCGGAAGGGATTATGCTAAACAAAGTAAGTGAGAAAGAGAAAGACAAATGCATGGTTTCCCTCCTACGTGGAGTATACAGAAGCGAAACAAAGGAACTGACAAAACTAAACCCAAACTCTAGAAATACGACTGCACAATTGAGACTACTGGGGAGGGAAGGTGAACAAAAGGGACTGGTGGGGGCCTCGTGGACTATGGTGGGGGACTCTGGGTGCTTTGGTGGTGGGTGTGGTGAGGTAACACACCTCTCAGTATGTGAACCTGTCCCCTAACTCATAAGCAGTGTACATCAATGTTATACAATAAAATTCAAATAAACAGATAAGTAATTTTTGCAATACCCACAACTTTAAATGCAAGAATAAAAAAAAAAAAAAGAGGCACACATTTTGTGGGGATGCATTCTTATTCAGACATACATTTCAAATTTCATGGGGATGAAGGGACAGAAGTGTCCCAAACAGGTTTTCATTCTTATGATAATCTTTTATACTGCCAACCTGGATGGACCCTTAAGAATGGGTTTGATGTAGCAGAAAATATTCTCTCTCAGAGTAATCCGAAGAGTTGGGGGAGGGGGACCACAGTGGAAATGCCCCATTCCACCCAAGCTCTCTAATCAAAGGTGGTAATAAATCTAACCAGCATGCTCCTTGTTAGGAGTGGAGGTAAGCCAACCTCAGGCTTTAGATATGCTTGTTGTAAAAAGAAGCTTCTCTAAAAAGAAATAGGTTCGACAAGATGTTCTCAGAATATCAGTTGCTGCTTGAAGCTTTACAGCCAACACATAGTTTATCTTCTCATCTGTCTTCTAGATGAGAAATTGTTGATCCACACAGTTGCTGCAAAAACCTTCTCCCAAAGCTTTTCAACCCTACACCCCCACACACAACTTCCAGTGTCTACAGGGACAGGAAAAGAGGGTATGCCTCTTCATCTAGCAGGTTGGGTGGGCTGAAAGAGGAGGTGGGCAGAAAGCAGTTCTTCAAGGCACAGTTCCTGTCACCTGAAGGTGTAATAAATTTGCCGTTACAGAAATGCACACAAGCATGAAGAGCCATGAACATGGAAATTTTGATGTCTGGCAGAATAGAATAAAACGCGCCTCGGGGTCAATTGGGATTGTCGTACACACCTGCACACATACACTCACGTGCACAGAGTGGCTGAATGAAAAAACTTGAGGGTCACATGGACCTCTCAGGAATTTTTTTGATTTTTAGCATGAAAGACCAGATGTGATTTCCAGTCCATGTTGTTTCTATTTAAGTTATTAGATTTTTTTCAGATATCAGAAATTTAAGCTGCCAAGTCCGTGCTATCATTACGTGTGCCTAATTAAATTTGTTGCTAGTTGTGAGGATTGTTGGTGATAGAGAATAACCTGTGGATCCAGGAACTTGCTTCTCACAGCACAAGCCACAGCCAGCGGCTTTGGTTTTACCCAGGCACTTACTAAACATGCAGAACATTAGACTGCTCCAGAACCATCTGCTTAATGAGAATTTACATCCTGAACATTCTCCGGTTATTGATGCACGTGTTTGAGAGGAGCAGGTTTCGGAAAGGAGATATAACCCAGACCAGCCACACGGGCGCTCAGTTCTGGCCTTTGCCTCAGGCTTGGCCTCAGCTTTAAAAGGTCCCTGTGAGTATCAGGTCCCCAAGCATGAGCCCCTCATGATGCCAAACACACAAGGACTCCACATAGGGTGGACGGCAATCAGGAGAGTCTCGCCAAGCTGACTGCCCTGCAGTGATTTCACACCTGCCCTGATGTTTATCCGTGCTGGAGGAAGTCATGGTTGATGGCCTAGCTCAGGCTTCATTTTTCTTACCAGGTAGTGCCCCCATCTTTAATTAGCGTGTTTCCCCTACATTTGCTGGCACCGTTAATAAACAGACTCTCGAGTCTTCCTTTTCCTTGGTTTTTGTTTGTTTACTTAGCATACTGTTCAGTTCACACATTACACATCGGTTGTACTAATTCAGTTCTCAGAAAGTGACCTGTTCCCAAGCTCATGGAGGCCTTCTCATTCCTGTCCATCTCCTGCCCCCCAGAGTGGCAGCATTGATCTTCGGGTGACATTTTTCTTGTGTGCCAGTTTTTCTTTAGGCTATTTGCTGACCACGACCGGGACCCTCCCCGGCTAGACTACACCCGGATGCTACTTTATTTTGCTTGCCACCCGGACACTGTGGAAGGGGTGTACAGGGCTCTCAGCGTGGCCATCGGCACTCATGTCTTCCAGCCAGTGAAGACTTCTATTAGTGTCATAGAAAAGGTAATTGCATTCCAGACATGGGCGAGGCTGATACCTGGCGGGCATTGCCAGAGACTCTAAACCTCTAACAACAGAAGCTGTTTACTTCATCATATTTTGTGGGGTACCTAACACGATGCTCTACATGTAACTAGGTTGTCAAGAAAGCCTGACTCAGATGGATTGAGAACTGGGAAACCACTATCTAAAAATTGCTTTTGTGGTTAAATCAAAATGTGCTCAGTGTTTCTTGGTAGAATCAAAGTTCATTGGTAATAAACAGTCTTTATTTTGCATGAAGTGGTGATCCTGAGAAATGAAAGGGGCCTCAGTATTAGCCTAATGTACGTCACTCAATATGGAAAGTGTACGTAAAAGGTCAGGCCTCAGACATATCCCACATCTGTGTACCACTTGTCAGGGCTTCAGGCCACCCGAAATCCACAGGCCCCTGCATCCAGGGACAAAGCTGCTTACTGGCTCATAAAACCTCACACCCCCTTTCAATGGAGTTGGTATTCCCTAAATTTAGGGGTAGGAAAGACTCCAAGTAATGCACCAGTGAATGTAAGTGCAGAACTTTCTAGTCATTTGACCTTCCAGGGACAGAGCTGTGACCTTGGCATGGGATATATATTTCTGTTCTTCCTCTGTGGATGCCATGAAGGGCTCTTCCCAGTCGAACTCAGATTCCTAGCAAGTAAGGAGAGCTAGTAGCTAAGGCAGGGGTTTGATTACCTGTTGAATCCTAGTACTAAGTTATTGCTATATTGAGTTTGAGACAGTGTATTTTTGTCCCCTGAAGTAACTGCCACATAACAAGCAAATAATGTTTGGGGACACAGATGGAACAGAAGGAAAAGGGAGGGTGGAACAGAACCCTGTCTCTTGAGTAGACAGGAGAAAAGATATCTCAGGCAAAGATAATAGCAGGAACCAGTAGGCCGAAGTGAGCTTGAAAGACTAAGAGGAGCAGGACGCTTGTGCTAAAACTGTTGCCACAGCAACAGACAGCTGCCTGCCCAGCCCAGCGAGCCCAGAAAGGCACCACATCCTTCTGTCCCTGAACAACATCTTCACCAGAAGCTCAGCGCCCCCACCCACGGAGAAGCTCCCCAGAGGGCTTCTCTAAAGTGCCCTTTTAAAATCCAAGGATAGTGCACAAGGATGAAACAGGGGTGAGGGGCAGGAAGTAGCATGTGCCTGGCACCCCACATACACTATTCCTGATTTGGTGTGAACCCAAGTTGCTTTGGAAATACAGGATCCTCCCACCTTCCTCAATCTTACTCACCCCTGTCCTCACCATCCTGTCTTCAATTATACCGCTCTATTTCTGTGCCCGCTCCAAGCATGTTCCAGTTTCCTGGGCAACCTCATCCCAGGAAGCCATAATGAGCCTGCTCAGAAATAACACCTCCAATAGGTCCACCTTCACGCCCAAGACATTTAATCAAATCTCTGGTTTTGCTTTCCACACAAACAATTGGAAATCACCTTTACATTTCTTGCTTCCTTACTCTCTTTCTGTTACTCATGCTGTTTTATTCAACGTGGCCCAGACCTTCCGTTTAAGTTCACGGCTCCCTGAGTCATTTAAAAGAAACTCCAGGGCAAAGCATTCACAAGTGATGCACCCGTCCTCGTGAAGCTTTAAAATGAGTCGACATTTGGGAAAATAGTTCATTCTCATGTGTGTGGCGAGGTGTTCCGATGTTGGAATTCAGTAAATGAGCTTGAAATCTCCCACACTTTGAAAGTCTTCTTAAAGCATCTTGGCAGCATTTTGGAGACTCCAGGGTTCAAAGCACATAGGTTTCATTCCATTCCGCTCCTTGACAGTTTGCCCACACCTGTCCCAAGGACTAGCCTGTCCTCCTGGGGGAGCCACCTGTGATAGTAGTCGGCCATGTCCTGCTTGGATGACAGGCTGACTCACAATGAGCTCTGATGCCGTTAACAACTGCTCGACCAGAAGCACTGGCTCTTCTCCACACTGACATCACTGGTTTTGTGTCACACATACACCCTCAAAAATCGCTGTCATTCCAGGATGTCCACTGGAGAAAGCCCCCTCTTGCACACCCTTCACTCCCACCAGGATGCTGGCCCAACTCCTCTGCTTCAGTCTCAGTCTCCCCCTACTCTGTCCTCCCACAGCCCCCAAATCTATTCTGTCATCATCTTCCAGTGATTAAAATAGCCAAATATCTAAAAGTGTCTTCTGGCATGAATAATTTAAGCAGTCTGCCCTCTAAAACTCCAACTGTTTAAATTATTACCTTTTGGCTGAACTTGAAAAGTTCATGCATCCCTTGATGAGTGCATTGGGCTTGAGAGCATGTCGCTTCATTGCATTTTGGTATTTGGCCTCACTGGATCTGACTGGACCTTGGCTCACACCCAGGGACAGTGTTATATTCACACAGACTGCGGGGCACCCTGAAAGGGAGTGCATTTCCCTTCCCCTCACCCAGCACGACTTTTACATCGTAACATCGCTCTCCTTGCTGTAGTAAAAGTCATGTTGTTCTGGAAAATCGTTGGCGTGTAGTCAGTGTGATGTTGCCCAAACTTCTTCAGTGGAGACAAAATGCCAGTTTCACATTTCTGCCATGTAATTTTTCAGTTCTTTAAAATGGAGACGAGACTGTATAGGCAAAGGGATAATAAATGAATGGATGGATGAGTGGAAGGATGTCCCTATAGATAAGTTTAGACTTCAGGCCAAAGTCTTCACCTGGCCCAGCATTCTCTCTCTCTCTCTCAGCGTAGGTTAAGTTCCCAGGTTATCACTAAACATGGAGACCCGACTCAAGTAGGATGATGACGCAGTGCAAATGGAGCCTGTCTCCAGCACACTGTCATGGCTTCTCCAGAGCACTCAGAGCTTGTACTGTGTCCTAACCATTAATTGTGTGGGTTTACACGGCAATTTAGAAAGAGCTTACGTGATCGGTACCATTAATGCTTCTACTAAATTTAATATTTATAAACATCTCTAAGTCTAGAATAGCATTTCTTCTTGCTGTCAATAGTACTGAATGAACACCCATATAAAAATATTTCTGTGTGCATGAATATTTCTTTAGGATCAATTCCTAGATCTGTAATACCTGCATCAAAGGGTAGGGATGTTTGTCAGAATTTTGATACAAGAGATTACTTCATTAACAGTTTACTCTTAACCATTCTCAAAACACCAGTGACTTGAGTTCACAACTCTTGGCCAAATTTCAAGGAGCAGCAAAAAGAACCGTAGCCTATCCTCTGTACAAATTTGTTTGGTTTTTATTTTGCCATCTGAATATTTAGTGGGGCTTCACCTCCATATCCAAATAACTGTTCCCACAGCTCTCAGAATCTATGCAATGGAGAAGTCAATTTGCCTGCCTCTAGATTGCAGGAAATCACCAAAGAAAAATCATGTTAAAATCCATAATCAAGTGTAGAAGCTTGACACTGGTTCTATCAGTCAGTGCCAGTGTTCACTTATTAAGGACTATGATGCACATGGAAGTGTAGAAAACCAAAAAAAAGAACTACCAGCTGAACTGGTCTAGGATTTGCCAAGTTTTCTAGTGCCGTTAGTATATTATCACCTAGTTATTGTTTGGATATTTGTGGTAAGTACACTCATTCCATTGCATGAAAATTCGATGACAGAACAGGTGTTTTCTGAATGTCTCCATTACCGGAAAGGCCAGTCTGACTTCACGTTTGCTTCTTTTAATTGTGCAGCCCTCCTTTACTGAGATGTATGTCATTGAGGAATATCCTGAGCTGGAAGAAAATGCCATAAGTGAGAAAAGGGAAACAAAAGAAGAAAGTGAAGAAAAGGAAGAAGAAACTCCTGAAAATGCCAACACAGAGAAGATTTCCATAGAAACGCTACTCAAAGTGTTCCGAGGAGGAAATGAAGTGCAGGACTCTGGTAGATTCGCCAGGCACCTGATGACAGAGAACACTTACTTAGAGGTTGGTTGGATTATTTCACGGAGGGTGAGACCGCTACATGAGGAAGGTTGCCTTCAAGTGTGAGTGTGTGCTTATGGAACTACTGTCAATGAGTCATTGCATATGGAAATTACAGGGAATTCCTTTAGAAAATCAACCTATTTTTTAACATGTACAGGATTACCAAGTTAACTAACTCATTTTTTTTTTTAAAGAACTTCATAAAAGTATTTCAGGACTTGGGTGCCAAGGAGCTAGAGCCTATTGAAGTTGCTGTTCTGTTGAAGCATCCTTTTATTCAAGACCTGATTTTAAATTATCCAGACTACAAAATTCCTGTGAGTATTACCCAAAGGTGTCCTAATTCTTTAGAGCTTTCAGTTCAGGACATGGTGAGACATCTCTAATGTGGACTAACAGAGAGGGGAAAGAAACTGGGTGTGGCCAGACCAGGACTGGGGAAGCTAAACTGGGACTAGCATCAGGCCAGAATGACTTGGTAGGTACAATGCTTGCAGGTTAGCACCATTGGCATAGTAGAGGCAGCTACAGTACTAGGGGGAGGACTATCAATAGTGGGATGGCACTGTCAGAATATAGATAGTTCTATTAGTAAAATGACTACGCAGCTACTTCGTGAAGACTATGAAGACAAACTAATGAAACTTAAGCTGGGTGAGAAAATATTCATCCTCTGCTAGGCAAAGTTAAAGTATTAGTGTTCCACGTCATTCCAGTCATCCAAATGGCCTCACCTATGATGAAAGAGTAGGGAGAACAGAATCCATTTTGCCAAGAAAACCAAGGACCATGACCCCCAACCAAGTGTTAGCACAGTCATCGTCTGCTGTCTAGCACATCATCCTAGCACCACAATGACAGTGCTTAGGACAGATTGGGCATCAGTGCCATCAGGGAAACAGTGCTGGAGGCTGGAGAAATGGACTCTCTGGAGACTGGATTATCCAGCAGCAAGATTCAGCCACAGGAGCCGATTGTGCGTCCAAGGTGCACAACAAGCCTCCTGCAGCAAGGGCCGAGAGCACAGCGATGGCCGCCTTCTGGGGGTGAAAAGTTGCTGCAGCCTTCAGTGGCCTCAAGCCCCCTCTTTGGCTCCTGCTGCTTGTTTACTGGACTACAGAGGGTTTGCTGCATTGAAGAAAACAGCACTTTCACTTTGATGAAACGCAGGTGACCTGAGAGGCGAGCTCCTGACTTCTCTGTCATAACCTCCTATACCCAGAGCGGGGACATGATCCAGCCTTAAATATCGTTATTCAGAAGTTTATTTGTTCCAACATCTGAGCCTTTCTCCTATAAATTGAGAAAGGTATAAAGTGAAATGTATTTCTAGCGGACACTTAGCATGCCCAGCAGTAGTGTGATGAAAGCGTGTAAGAGCACAGACCGGGATCAGAAAGTCACGGGACAGAATTCATGTCCACCACGAGGACATGACCGCAGCTACCTCACATGCCGGCTCTCACCTCCACTAGAGGGGGTAACTGTCTTTCTTGTCCAAAGGGCGGGGGGGGGCGGGTAGGAAGGATAAATGAGGTCTTGCCCCCGAGGCCTCTGGCCGAGTCTGACAGCCATACAGGGTTGCTCCTCAACACTGAGCATTTTCTTTTTCTCTTTTTAATTGTACCTATTTTTTACACCATTCTTCATCTTCATACAATGTCCGACTCATCCACCCATGTATAGCCCCCAAGGAGCACTTCCTAAGGGAGAAAGAGCCATGAACTCAGTGGCTGCGCTGAAGCAAATTCTACTTCTGTAGGCAAGAGAATTTTTACATGGCGAAACAACAACAGAATGATAAAAGGCAAAGCAGCGAGCACATAATGCTAGGATTTCAATGCACAGGATGTTTGTGTGCTCGCCTCTGAGTCTTCAAAGATGCCCAGGGTTTCAGAACTGGAAGGAGAGGAGAGGAGAGCTCCCTGGATTTTTCTATTGGGGTAGAGAGGAGGCAGCAAGTGGTGAGAGGCCCAGGAGTAGGGCTACGTGGGAGCTGGAACTGACCCCTTGAGGAGCATTCTGTGGGGGTTCTAAGTGCTTTCCGTTGAGTTGGTAAGATAGTTATTAGATTTGCAAAGGTTCCAGAAGTCTCGTGGGAAGTCTCGAATCAATGTGAAAAACAATCATTATGTCTCTTAAAGGATTTTTCATTAAATTATTATTTGTCTCTCTTTATTTAAATAGGGCCAAACTATTTGGAAAGATGGTTGGCAGTTGCTCCAAGGTGTGTTCACCCATTTCACAAATACTTACTGTTTGCTTTGAAAGTCATGTGTTGCACAACCCTTTTCCGTGTCTTATCTCTCACACTTTTATTAATCAAAACCAGCCTCTTCCTCACTTAGTCAGTGTAATACTAGAAATACTAGAAATCAGCAGGGCAGAACCCATCAGAATATACTGAGGGGTGGAAGGAGGAGGGGGAGTCAGCATCACAGGCAGGCTGGGGGGGAGGGGGGAAGGGGCCAGTTGTGGGTCCTCCCCCTGGCGCCCCCCACCCCAGCATGGCCCATCACTGCAGACTGCACTTCCTTCAGTGTGTCATGTTACATTTTAGGGAACAGCCTCCCCATTTTAAGCTGGTAAAATAATTTTTAAAATCCCTTGGAATTACATATAGTCGAATGTATCTTCTGTTACCAAGAACAAGTAGGAGTATGAAATGATACCACAGTGATCGCCTCCCTAATGGGGAAAAAAAGAAACTGTACAGAGAACCATTTGGGAACATCCTTCTGGGCAAAATGACTAAATATGATTAACTTGCAACAAGGACCCCATTCAGCATTTTACCAAGAAAAAAAAATGGCAATAGATGACTGCCTTCCAGAGTCGGCCCCAGAGGTGGCCTGGCTTCCAGAGAAAGCTAGCCTTCGAGGAGCTCTTTTTACTTTGGTGTGTCCCTCATTTCCTCACCTTGGGGCTCGCCTTGAGTCAGCTGGCGGCTGGACAGCCGGCATCTTCTGAGGGCCACTGTCCCCAGTCGATAGCATGCCCGTCGGCCCTGTCCTGTACTCAGGAGCCTGCGGCCTCGTGACCACCAAAACCACCTCTGCATGTTGCCCAAATCTTCCCTGCTGCACAGCAGCCTGGGAGGGAGCCACCTGGCCTCCTGGGTACCAGCTTCAGTCTGAGCATCCCCCGCATGGCCCTCCCACAGCAAAAAGAGGGGGAGTCTGTCAGTCGGCCCATCCATCTTCATTTCTTGCCAGAATGTCTCTGCCCAGACAGCTCTATCTGTTGCTCTCCCATGGTTCTTCACATCTTTCTGGCCTGAGGCGAGGAACCCAGGTCAGTGAACTCCCATAAGAAGGACTCATTCATACTGTCAGAAGTGAAAGACAGTTGAGCTTGTGAACAGGCAAACCTAAGTGCTGATATTCTAAAATGAAAGAGGTTCCCTTTTCGATAAGGTTCTCTTCTCATTTTTACTAACTGAAAAATAAAGAGGAGGAGGACAGAAAGAAAGAAGGGGGGGTTGAGGGAGAGAGAGAGAAAGAGAGAGAGAGGGAGAGAGAGAGAGAGGGTGGGGTGAGAGGGAGAGAGAAAACAAGAACAAAAAGAAAAAAGAAAGATAAGAAAAAAGAGGAATAAATACTCTCTAAAGACTCAGGAGCTATCACACCTGTCCAGTCATCATTTTTTGCTCCAGATATCCATGTACAAGTAAATAGATCATTTGAAAATGAACTTTAACCACAGTGATGTTATTTAAAGATCTTTCCAGATAAGTAGTGCAGAAGCTAGAATGTGGTTTTTCAGGTTAAAATGTTGTTTGCTGTTATAAACAGTGGGAAGTGGAGGTTGTTGCCTGAGAGCTCTGTTTACAAAGTTCCTGTTTCGAAGCAGCAACATTTTAAAATATATGAGCATATTTTTTTTAAATGTGTGTGAGTAACTTTTGATATGTTTACTTTTCCTCCTCTTGGGAGGTGGCCTCTTTGTGTGTTAAGAATGTGTCTGTGTCCGTGGTGTTCATATTGCAAACCGTGTGACCTTGAGCAGGTGACGTCTCCATGCCTTAGTTTCCCCCTCCTAAAATAGGGTTAACTATCATGCAGACCTTATAGGCTGCACCATAGGCTTTTAGGCTTAGTTATACCTGATTTTAGGTATAAGTCAGATACCTTAACATGACTTAATGCTAACTCAGTCTGCCTGGCAGACAGAAAGCAGACCATAAATGTTGGAGATTGATGATGATGATGATGATGGTGATGAAGATGGTGATGGTGATGGCAATGCTACTTGCCATGCCCATGAAATATTTCTGAATTATGTGAAGTTATTTGCAGATATCTTATAAGCTGGCATCTCCATCTCCTGAGTGCTGTGTCTGCTCTTTGGAAAGAAAGTTGTTTTTCCCATAGCAATGTCACAATGATTAGGGATCCAAACTGTAATCTTAGGAAACCCCCTGTGATCAATGCCTATGTAGAAAATCCAGCTTTTGTGTTGAACTGTGTAGTTATTTGTTTACAGCCATTTATATAACCTCTTCTTTCGTAGACCTTATATAAAGAGGTTATTTTCAAGTAATATTCCTAAATTATTAAACAAACAAACAAACAAACAAAAAATCTTGGTTTAGTGTAACAACATCAATGAAACACTACAACTGAGTTTTTGAGCAAAGTTGACTAGCTTCCTAAGACAAATATGTTTGCAGATATAAGAGAAGCAAATGTACTGTTCCTAGGAGGAACACATGCTGTATAAATGTACATTTCTTTTAACAAAACTGTAAATGTGTGAGTCCCTAAAATAAAGGTTCCTATTAAACAGAAGATAACAACCAATCTTTCAGTGTTAAATCAGGATGCCGCAGAAGTATTTCTTATAAACCAATGAGCCGGGACCCAATTATATGAGGTCAAAAATACCTGTCCTTACAAGTGTGACTTGAGAGGACTTTGATCCTACTTTGTCTTCAAGGTATCTGACTTGAACCTTCTCCTTTGTGACAAAATGATGGCTGCTTATGTGCTTCACATTTTCAGTGCACCACATGAAACATTTCTAGACTGCCAGGCTTTCCCCCTTTAATTAAATGCTAATGAATATCATGGCCCCTGATTTCAGCTCTAAACTTAACCAGGTCTTGTTTAAATTTCTGAAACTTATGATTTTTCCCATGCAATGGAGTGACAGAGAGTGAGCAGGTTAGCCGCCTCCTTCATCCCCAAGGTAAAATTCAGCACCAGCAGCAACTATACCCAGTGTTCACAGACGATGCCCTAGTAGGAAGTGTGATAGGGAGGACAAGAAAGGCCAGTGATGAACAGCTGTTGTTTTTCAGTTGTTCACCATCACTAACCTTTGCCCATCAATCTATATTTCCAAACCAGTAGTTTCCCCCCAAATGATTCACCCTTATTCCTGGCAAAGACTGGTAGACCAGTGCATGTGCTACTCAGCAGGGCGACAGCTCAGACTGGGAACCCACTCATCTTCCTGAGGAAAATGACCACAGTCAAGTGTAACTGTTGGAACTCAGTTCTGGAGAGAAGAGACATATTCTTACAGCATTTCCCTAAATTTATAAAATATGAAAACTAGAAACTGCCTAAATTTTATTTTCTGTTTTTGGCTTGGTTGGACTCCTTCTATGTTATGATGGTATTTTAAGTTTGGAAAGTATCTGCAGTTTAAAATGCTAGTTAGTTAGGTATTTCAGATGGCTAGGGGAAGAAAAAAAGTCATTCATTCTATTCCCAGTGTTTAAAAATAATAGAGAAGTAAGAGAAGTCCTCCTCACCAAATTATCTGCTGTTCTAGAATTCTAAAAATCTATTGATCTAATTTGGCATTAGACTTTTTAGTAGTAGAAGGTGATACTCTTTTTTATTCATTAATACAGAAATAATCTTTTGACTTACCACTCTGTGTCAAGCTCTTTTTAATTGCTATTGCAAATATTATTTAGTCTAATATAGCAACTTCACTATTAGATACGTAAATACAAACTCCAAGATCTTTGCTATCTTTCCAGTTGTAGAACAGGATTCAAACTAAATAAAGAACATTTTTTTCTCAAGGGAGAAAAATATAACTAAAAATAATTTACTAAACTTTAGAATAGGAAAACTGTTTTATTAAATACAATTAGAAAAGTTAATTAAAATACAAATCAGGGCCCTCCCTGGTGGCACAGCTGGTTAAAGAACAGCACTAAGAAGCTAAAGCCACTTTGGCATGAGTTGAATCCCCACCTGCCTGGAGGTGACCCACAGGGTGCGGCAGACCTCTCCTGACCCGCCCACTGATCCCCTCAGCAGTGTACTTCATTAATCTGCCTATTCTGCTCCCCACTCTGTCTCTGGTGAAACCTCTCACCACCCCCGCACCTCTGGCTGTCCCCCAGCTCTGTATGCATAAATAAATAAATCTTTTAAAAAAATACAAATGAGAGATACAAAGAAAACCAATTTACAGTTTAATCACTACCATACACTAGATAGCCATAAGTGCGAAATCACTTGTTAATGTTTGCAATTTTTTTAATCCTTTCTCTAGGATATTAAACTAATTCTGCAAAGAAGTGAGCATGTACAAGGCAGTGACGGAGAAAGATCTCCTTCAAGACTCACAGAGGAAAAGAAATGAAGAAAAGAGGATTTAATAATTTAGCCATTAATCTTCTGCACATCAGTGTGAACAAAGTGTTTGTCATGTGTTATCCTTGAAAGTGTAGAAATGACCCCCTTTCATTCCAAGGGCCACTAAAAAGAGCCTTTCTGAATGCAGAGAGCATTCTGTAATAAACTTTCAATTTCAGAGGAAAAATCCAATTTAGGAGGCATGCATTTTGAAGTGACCCTGAAAATAGAAATTAGAACCATTCATTAAAAAAATAAAACATGTTACAGGTCCAGTTCCTATGAGACTATCTACAACAGGCAGATTTAGTGAAAACTTCCCCAAAGTACCACACCAGGGCAACACAGCTATGGACACCTCCTAGTTCTCATTCTGTGAGCATAAAACCCAGAAGTTCACCCCACCAATGAGGACACCAGACTGGGAACTATGACCACCCCCCACCAGCCCCCGAAGCCCTGGACTCCCATCATCTATTCATAATTCTTTCTGAGTTTAGTTTTCCCCTTATAGACAGATGTGCTTAGGCAACTGTATCTTTTATTTTATAAACTAGTGACTCAAGTTCAGTGATACTTATGAAAGTGGCTTTTTTTTTAAAGATTTATTTATTTATTCATACAGAACTGGGGTACAGGCCAGAGATGCGGAGGGTGAGAGGATTCACCAGAGACAGAGTGGGGTGCAGAACAGGCAGATCGAGGAAGTACACTGCTGAGGGGAGCAGTAGGCGGGTCAGGAGAGGTCTGCCGCGCCATGTGGTCGCCTCCGGGGGCAGGCGGGGATCGAACTCACGCGGATGTGGCTTAAGCTTCTCAGTGCTGTGCTTTAGCCCGCTGCGCCACCAGGGAGGGCCGAAAGTGGCCTTTTTTTAAAGTGAGTAGTAATAATTTCTCAGTGGTGGGGCTTCTATGATTCTTTTTTCGGTTTCTTCCCTTACTGCTCCTTGTGAGGATCTCACCAGATCCCCCTTTTCTACTCAACCTGTAAATGTTGGAGGACCCCATCACGCAGCCTCCTGATCTCCAGATGATTCAACCACTTCCCTGTTTCTCAGGGCATTATAGAGGTTAAAGCTGAAATGTCTGCTCCCACCCACGACCCTTCCCTGCAAGCCAAATATCTCTCTTACTGCCCTCTTGACTTCCACATGGATGACAAATTATCTCAAACTCAACAATGCCCATGCGTGAGTTCCTGATTTTCCTTGTTGTCAAATCTGTACTTCCCCCAGCCTTCCCCATTTCAGGCAACTCTATTCTGTTTCCCAAGTCAAAGATCTTGAAATTATCCTTGACTTCCTACTTTCCCTCATAATCTACTTTCAGTCCATCAGGAAATTGGGTAGGCAGTACCTTCAAGTGTGTGTAGAATGTGGTCTTCCTTGCTCCCTTCTGCAAGAATTTTAGTCCAAGCTACCACAATTTCTTGCCTGGATTTTGCAGTAGACCCTAACTAGTCATCCTTGTAATTACTCTTATACAAGCCATCCTTGTAATCGTTAGTATGAATTATTGCCTATTTTTAGAGAGTGACACATTCCTTAAATTTATTTTTGTGGGCTAAATTTTCCTCAAGGCTCCATGGTCAGAACCTTCATCTTGCAGATGACAGAGAATGGTGACCCAGAAGCATGCTTGAGAGATGAAGAAGAAACTATGTGAAGTTTCCAAATGAAGTTTCCCATGCAGTTCTAGTTACTGCCAGGTAATTCTAGTTTTTCTAGACAAGAGAACAGAGGACTATCTCAAAACAGAGGTCCAGTACATAAAATGCCATGACTGGGACAAAGGTGATAAATCAATCCAGATTTCATTTGTGATTGAGCAAGACAAGACACTACATAAAGAAAAAATTAAAAGCAAAAACAACAGCATTCTTCCTGAAATAATTTTCGTCCCCAAGGTTGGTAAATTAGGAAATTGCAGAATCTCCCTCCAGAGGCCCATTAACTCATCTGAGTAGCTAAGACCTAAGCTAAGAGTTCAGCACGCCCAACATCTGGTTTAGGGTCAGCTGCCAGCATAGACTCAGCTTTCAGCACGTGGTGGGGGGTGTGAATGTTCTCTCACTGCGGTCCTGGAGCAGGTGATGGGGGGAATCTCACCCTCAGAGGCTGCATGGGATTTTCCAGGGAAAGAACTACTATCCTAGGAAATCATCTCCCTTTCAAGCCTTACAATTCTAGTAAATGTCCAATCAGCTTCAAAACGTTCTGATACAGCTTTTGTACCAAATATTGCACTAAATGTTCTCCAGCTTTTGTAAAATGGATCTTGTGTCTCTTACCTTGATTGCTTCCCCCTGAATACTTTGTTAAAATAACTCTTACTGCAATCCAGGATGTCAAGCCATCACTAGTGCATGCGTACATGCAAATTTTGAGGAGGCTGTGGTGACCAAAAGAAACTGATGACTTATACCTTACTTACATGTGTTTCATGTGCTTTAGATAAACCACATTCCACTATCTAAATGCTTGGCTGTTGTAGCATGATGCATTTAAGCAAAACCTCTAACTAATCACTTTTATACGTCATTAGCCATATTCCCATTGCATTTCCCACAAAGTCTGGTCCAAGTCTTCCTTATTATACAGAATTATAGCACCACTTCTTTTTTTCTTTATTATTGGGAAGCACAAAATAAGATGTATATATACAAAAGATGTGTGTTAAGCTCTTGTTATGTACTGTGCTGGAACTGTGCTAGGTACAGGCATCATTTTTTCATTTACTCTTACAGTAAAACTTGGGGTCGGTGTTAATGTTTCTCCTTTACATGTAAGTATCCAGACAGAGCAGTTCGTAAGTGACTTATGCAGAATCATACCATTAGAGCCTGGTAGCACTGTGATTTGGATCCTGTGTCTGACCAGTACCAAAACCCAGGCTTTGCCTCCTGCACGCCAAGGCTCCCCTTCAAGAGAGTCACTGAGAACTGAGACCATCATATTTCCCATTCCTTTGACAAGACACACACGTGACTGTGTTGCAGAGTCTGCACCCTCCACACTCTCTTCGTCCCCATCTGTCCCAGAATGTTGACCCTGTTGAAGTCTAATCATTCGTTCCTATTGTGCTCTGCTCCTATTTCCTTCTTAACCTCTAAGAACCTCTTCACTATTTCCTGTATTTATTTTCAGTGTCCATCCTCTGGTTAGTTCTCAGCCAACAAATATGCTCAAGATTTGGCTATGAGAGGAGGGGGAATTCCTCCTCTTGCTCTACTCTGCACCCCCTGGAGTAACTGTTTTCTCTCTCACACTATGATCATATTACTTTTCTCCATTAGTGTTTAGATATGAATAATTATATTGTTTGATGTAGTGATGAACCCATCTTACATTCCAGGATGATAGTATACTTTGGAAAACAACGGAATTGAACCGCCAAAAATTTGGTGAAGGTTTTGGTAAGGCCAAGGTCAATGGAAAAAATGGGCCGGAAGTTTTACTTTCTTATATTTGGTTTTATATCAGGTTAATGTTGATCTTATTAATACGTTAGTGTGTATTTCCTCTTTTATTTTATAGAAGTGTTCATTCAGAATTAGTTTTCCTCCTAAGTATTTAGCTGTATTTCCAATAAAGTCATCCTAACTTGGAGTTATCTTTCGTAAGCTCTTCTGTTCATAAATTCAGTTTATTTCATTGACATAGGTTTAGTCAGATTATTCTACTCGGGTGAATTTTAGTGTCTCTCAGGAAATATTCCCATTACATAAAAGTTGTTAAATTACTAGCAAGAAGTTGGTTTCCAGATTCCTTTAGTGTCCTTTTAAGGTTGATAGATTCTCTAATAATTATTCCTCTTTCATCGCTGATATTGATAATTCATGTTTTCTCTTTTTCTTTTTCAGTTCAGTAGATATTTATCAATCTTCTTCATTTTTCACAGTACCAGTTTGCTTTTAATTGTATTACTTTTTTATTGCGGTAATGTTGGTTTTCAACACTGTATATGATTTAGGGATACAGTTTCACACCTCTTCAGCCGTATGTCACCACACCACGCCCACCACCAGAGCACCCCTCGTCCTCCACCAGTCTACGGGGCTTCCTCCCCGTTACTTCCCCCACATACCCTCCCCTCTGGTAGCCTCAATTCAAAGAACCATTTTTTTTTTTTAAATTTCATTGATATTTCTCTTGGTTTGTGACCAATCATGTATGGGCTCTCAAGTAACTAACATTCTTCTCACTCCTCCACTAAAACAGACCTCACAAATTTCCCAAATATCATCAAAATAAAAGTAGAGTGGCAATTTTCTCATTATTTCATGCTGTCCATTGCTCCCTTATTTGAAAAATTCTCTTCTCACTTGGCTTCTATGATATTAAGCTTTACAAACTTTTTGTTTTTTATCTACCTGGTTACTTTCTTCAATTACTCTAGTTTTATTTTCTTTTTCCTGTGTCTTAGTCTCTTCTTTCTAGGCCATTTCAAACACCTGCTTAGTTTCTATTTTCATCTACATTCAAATGACTTTTAACCCTTTCATTTTTATACCCCAAACTGGCCCCCACATACTCCTGAAAGAATCCTTCTGAAACTGTATAAACGTGTCACAGTGTAACTTTAAAAACTTCCTTTGACCCCTTGCTATCAAATAAATTCCACATCTCTTATTTAGAAGCCAACTCTCATGATGCTTACTTTTTTCTCATACTTGGCTTAACCTAACATCTGTCATTCAGTAGACACAATAAATATGGAATGGGCTGATGAACCTAGAAAGGTATCTCCTTTGAACAACTTTGAGGAGGTGGAGAGTAACTGTTTAAAGATGTTTCTATAATCTTCTCTACCCCTCTTATCTTACTGGCATACTTGACATATTGTCAAAAATTGCAAATTTGCATTGTCTATTGGGATAGCTCTCTCTGCTTCCAATAGTTTTTTTTCTGCCATGTTCTCTGACAAAGACTTAACAAAGCATCTTCTGCTTACTAGAGGCATCATGGAAGATTCTAGTGGGCTAAGGATAAACAAATCTACCAGCAT